AAGCAAACAGGAACACAACAACAAATCAATGAGAGACGTATCTGACCGCACGTGGCATAGGAGCTGCCCTACAGAGATGTTCCACTCACGCACGCGTGGGCTGTAGCAGCACAGCAGGTCCAGGAGAGATCCACTCAAACAGCTTTCCTTACCCCAATATGGTAGAAATACAATAATATTAAATACAAAAACCAAACCAAACAAAACCAACAAAAAAACCCCAACAACCTGAATGAGATCTACAGCTGCTTACTGTGTCATAGGAACCCTTTATAATTCAAATTCACCAATTGGTATATTTTTTCTCTTCTAACACTTCCATTTGCATACGTTATCCAGGTTCATTCTGCTTCTCACCGCAGGTGAATGCTGCTCTTTGCATTCAGCGAGGAGATGCAAACTGCTTTTCCTTTCTCATTTCAGCTACAGAGATATGTTCATGTTTCCTGAAGCTGAACAGACAGAAGCCACAAAAGCAGCCTGGATCCCATGAAGACACATTCACCTATTACTCAGGGGTGTGAAAAGAAGTTGTGGAGAGCACTGGACCTCCACAGTGCTCCCTTGCAGCCTGCTGGCCCCCTCCCATCAGCACTCCATGATGCCAGCAGTGCACAGGAGGTTCAGAAATCTCCTGATTTTTGTTCTATGTGACAGGGAACACCCATTTCTCAATGGCGCAGTGGAGACACAACAGCACTGAGCTGTACCTTCTGCACTGAATTCCAGAGCAAATCAGGGAACTGTTCACCTGTTACAAAGAAAAGCAGTTCAGCTGGGTTAAACACAGCTTGCCACTATCTAAACTGGAACACAGTATGGAAATAACACTCTTCACATCCAGCATGGAACTAAGGTGGTGCTTTTCCCAGTACTGACGCCATAAAACCACATTACCTCTGCTGTCCTTGCTCTATGATTAACCATAGGGCATGGAAGCATGAAAAGAGACAGCCTGCTCTCTCAGGACCAGAAGCTGGGGGAGAAAAAGGAAAGCATCATGCTGCTGGGTTACATGTATTCCTGCAACGTTACACCAAGCAACAGCTAAAAAAGGATTGGGTTCTGAATGCTAATGTTCAAACCTGAGGAAAATGTTCCATGCTGGGTCTAAAGGTTATCTGCTGCTTTGTTTAGCATATGAGAAGCTGAATCTCTCCAAAACAAATAAATAGTTAAATAGAGAAATGAACAGAAGGCTACTTGTTGGGAAGCAATAAGCAAACCCAGAGATGCAAATTGTTGTTGCTTTCATCACAAGCTGGATAGCATGCAAAGTATTAGGGGAAGATTGAGCAAGCAGTTGTTTGTTCAGCTGTTGTTAACCCCCTTTCTATTGCCAGAGGTTGCCTTGGGACATCACTGCTCTATGCTGTGGCCAAGAAGTTCCACTGGCTGCCTACTGAACTGAAAATGCTGTGAGGCAGAGATTATTCTTCCAACTCTGCTCCTCAGGTTTTGGCAAGGAAACTCTCTAAAACTGCCAAATAAGAAGCAGTGAAGATAAACATCTGAATATATCTGATGACTGAAGAGAATGATTGGTGCCTTCTTCCTTGCCTTCCCCCCGCTGCTCTTCTGAGCCAACAAATCAGATCAGAATTGAAGTATCACTGCATGTTCAAGAGAAGCAGTGAGCTGAAAGTCAGGGGCTCGTTACAGCCCATGTCCAGCAGCAGTGATCAGAAACCTGTGAAGGATTTGAGAGCACTGTAATGTGCTCCACTAGTTTCAGTCCTCTGTTCCACTAAGTCCAACACAAACTCAGATGGAGCATAAGATATTTCAGTAGTGCAAACATCAGAAAAACAAACACCCAAAGAGCATTTTCACACAATTCCATTAGAATTTACCTTGGTTTAATTTTTTTTTTTTTTTTTTCCAAATGCAAGATATTCTCAAAGATTGGTGATGGTTCACCAAAACTGTGGAATATCCTTAAATATCCTTTAATATCCTTAAAATACAAAGAAATGCACACTGATGTTTGCTGTCACATGGATATGTGCACAGCTCTAGGCACAGTCTCAGCAATTCTTTGCCTTGATGCTTTAGGATCATCCAAAATCGAGTGGCAATGAGTTAAATCTACCCAAGTATTTGAAGTGAAATGATTTAGATTTGGGCAGCACTTGGTGAGAGGTCCCTTCTGCATCAGAACACCTGTGACATGGATTACCAAGAGTGGGAGATTTTTAATTATTACTATAATCTTTTTAAAAATCTCTGTGAGTCAGCTCACTGCACAGAGCTCTCTTGAAATTAGTGCCCAAACACAATCTTTTTTAATCAGTCTGCCTGTGTATATATGCTTCACAACATACATAGCATACATACAGAAGCATACATACAGAAATATTCCAGGGACACCACATACCTCCCTGGCACAGCCAGCTCAAGGAAGTGCACACCACAAAGAACGTGGAAATATTTCCACTGTATGGAACCTCTTGGCCACTCCTTGGTTCTGATCCCACATCAAACAGATCATAAACCAAGCCAAACTTAAGACACTGGGATGCTATTGCAATGTATTTCTATGGCCAAAGAAGTATTTCAGATTTGATTTCATTAAGAGCTCTCATATAAACTTACTGGAGCATGAACCTTTCCATGCCTCTTTGCTACTGAAAATAAATGCTATTACCCTGGTTTCTTTCCCACTGAGTTACATGGGGAACTGGAACATTGCTGTGGCTTCAGCAGCTTTGATCCTAATACAGTTATCTCACACAAAAGTATTCAGACTGTTTTGAGTTCTGTCTTACCTTTAAAAAAAATACACAAATACATTTCCAATCCATAATATGCAATTCTCTGAGATTTGGAAGTTATTATCAATGAGAGCTGGATACAGCTGTCAGCCAAGTCCTGAAGCTTTCAAAACCTCTCGTACTTCTGTAGCACTCAGAGCTGGGCAGCTTTCAGTTGTTCCCACTAATACCCAAGTAACTGAGGCAAGAATGAAGTATCCAGCGAACAGCTGACTACAAAGGCTTACTAGGATTTGCCAGCAACTCTTTGATCTGTAAATCCATCTAGAAACCAACTGAAAGCGGCATTTTTGACAGCATCAGACAAAGAAACCTCCCTGACTTGGGCAACTAAAAAGAAATATAGGGATTTTCTGTTGTGATTTCCTGCTGCTACACTCCACATGGATGGAAGATATTCTGATTTTTTGAACAGCAGTGGGCTTACTGCAAACTGACAGCATTAGAATGGCCAATCCTCTGCCCTGCTCTGGCTCAAGTGTCCTACCAGGTTGTGTAGATAAAGGACCTCAGATTCCTTTCTTTTCTTATCCCTCCATTCTTCTTATTCCAAATCACCTGAAAAAAAAGCCACTGATAACACACAGTAGCAGCTATGGCCTAGCCCAGACACACAAGATTTCCAAGGATGGAATTTCAGTGATACACAATGTTGTTCTGACACCAAATTCACACAACACTTTCTGGATTTGTTCAAGAGCTCTGTCAATATTCTGATGCTATCCCCAAATAAGGCATTGTCATAACAGATTTCTCTCAGAGTCAGAAAGAAATATAACAATTCCCATGTTCTCATGATCTTTTTCAAAACTACGTGGTTTGAATTGCATGACTTATTATATTTTGCCTCTAGAAATGGGCAGGACCCAGTATCTTTTCTTGTTGTAAAGGAGAGCCATCCGCTAACCATGGTGCTACATTTTAAACTGAAATACCTTTTCTTTTTCCCCTGTAATTTGGTTGCTTACTTAATAAACTAAAAAATGATCAAAACATCTCCAAATACCTCAAACAGAAGTGTCCTCAGTGTTGAAAGCTGAAACTCACATCTATTACACCATGTAGTTTCTCATTGAATGTTTAAAACAAAAAAATAGAGTAAAAGAACATGGCGTTTAGAGATCTGAATTTTTTCAGAGCCAAGCAGCACCTCATTGTCCAACACTACAGAAATCAATGGAGAACCAGCAATAAACAAATAATTAATTAAATAGCTCCATGACTGTATTTGTACAAAGTGGGATTTTCTCCATCCCAATTGCTAGTCTCTGTGAGCACAGACCTTTAGAAAGTCTTTCTGTCAGTTTGCTGAAAGGAATTGCTTTGGTTTTGAATGTGTAAAAAACACGTCATGTTGGTGGATGTTATTCTGATGGGCCAGCTGTGCACTCCCTGCCTTTCCAGCCACGCAGGTGGGTTGCCTGGCTGAACTTGTGATAAACTGAAGGCTCAGTACGCACCTCGTCTTTGTGTTCATTTCCTAATATTGCTTTCACCACCCTAAAAGTGGCAAAAATAATATTGCCCCAGATGAGAAGAACAAGATGGGAAGGATATGCAGTTTAATCTACAAGACAGACATCATGCGAGTAAGGGAAAATTCATTTTCACACTGAGCACCTTATTTCTTTTCCACTTGGAAACCACACTGGAGATACAGACACTTAAACTGTGTGATTCAAATTTTTCTTCTTGTTTTAAGGAAAAAAATGTTGTATTGACCCAACTGGGAGCCCATACAGCATTGATATGAACCCAAATCCATGATGCATTAGCAAGCAAAAGATCATGATATCACCACAAATGCTACAGTGTCACTGTTTCCAAATCACCGAAGCAGAAGAACAGAGTTATAGGAACCAGAAGGGACAAAATAGGATCTTTTTTTCCATATTTTTCCTTTGAAGAATAACAAGCAAAGCTATCCAATTTGCAATCATAATGCTTGTTCCTATGTTGCTTGTAAGTATCACATAAGAATTACATAAAGTGGAATGATTACAGCCATTAAAATAATTTATTTGGCTGAAATAATTCTGTGCATTTGTTTTTCATTTTTTATGTTGTCCATATCAGCAGTGCGTTATTTCTGTTCACTCATACCGCTGGGATTCAATTTCTTGCTGCTATCTTTGTAATCCTGGTACATTTGTTACATAGCAAAGGAGGTGGGTGAAGGAGAGGAACAAATGATGGGTGAAGCTGCAGCACATAGCACAAGGATACAATCCCTTCCTGGAAAGAGGATTTTGTGGCGAACCATTTCTCCCATAATGCATCCCACAGACCATATATCCACTAGGACAGCAGAGACAGGAGGTGGAGAAGGAGGAAAAAAAGCAAAGTTAACTATGACATTTCACTCCTAAAGCAGGGGACAAAGAGTAGGGTGAGCAGAGCAGCACCAGTCATTTTGTCTTTAGTTTTTTCTTTCCCCACATCTCACAGAAGCTCAAACAAACACGTAAGTACAAGCTGTGTCAGTTGGCTCGGTGGTAGTGAGCAACAATGGTGCAAGAAAATCAAAAGCAATACTGTTGGAAAAAGGCTCAATATTAGCCAGTAACAACTGCACCAAATCATGGTGTATGCTGAGTTTACGGTGAAAAAAACTCAATTTGTTTTTAAATGAAAAAGCAAAGCCAACAGCCCAGGCACTGATTGTCCGAGCAAAGGCCATGTGCAGCTGCAGAGTCTGTGGACTCCATCCTGTGGCAGCTCATAGGAGGTTCCCAATGGAACTACTCCTGGAAGCAAAGGCCATGTGGATAAGTACCACACTTAGGGGCTATCTACAACTGTTGCTTGAGGATCTGAACCCACATTCTATCCATATCAGCATGTGCCTGTCAGTGCCTACATAACAACTGGAAAGAACCAGAGCATAAGACTGGTCTGCAACCTTCCTTTACTCCATTGGTACTCAAAATAAATGCTAAAATAGATAATTGTTTCGTGAGTCAAGCACCCACAAGACTGTTTCTTCTCCTCCTGATCCTACATTCAGGCATTAGGGTAATGAACACAGTCACATTATATGCTTGAATTGAGTGTTTTTTTTCTCCCCTTCAAGTCTTGTAAGAAAAAAAATGTCAACTACAGGATGGCACAGTGTGCTTAGAAAGAAAAGATCCAGATTCAGCATTAGGGGGAAAAGCTGCCTTGAAAACTGCTTTACATTCTCACTTTGTGGCCATTTTTTATATCCATGGTCACTTTCTCTTATTTTTCTTCTCCCTTTTTAACCTTCAAAAGTAGTCCAAAACAAACCAAGGAAACAAACAACTCATCTCTTGGTCAAACAAAATAAAGGTGAAACGTTCCATTTGGGAAGAAGGGTACAGGGTATGGGGCACAGGACAGCAGGAGCATGCCTGAGGCTGCAGCAGTTTTCTTCACAGTGATGGCTCTGGGAGCTTCCCCGGGAAGCATAGCAAACCAGTGTTAATGGTACATCTCTAGCCAACCCAGTGCAGAAAGAAAATGAAAGCAGTGAAGAGTCCTTATACAGGCAATGGGCATAGAAAGGGGAAAAAAGGAGGGGAGCTTCAGTAATGTGGCAGCACAGGAGCAGGGAGCAGAGAGCAGCCCTTCTGTTCCTTCCCTGGGAGATATGGCAACAACTCACGGAATTTTCCCAGCTCTACACTTCATCACAGAAATGTCCCTGAGATTTTCTTATTGTCATTTTGAGAACTGAATGCATTCTCTGCCCTCTCAGGGACGATTACAACAACAAAGACTTATTTACTACTTTTTCAAAGAAAAAACAAGTGAGTATTTGGCATAAGGAGCTGTAAAGCATGCCGAGCCCAGGTCAAGTCAATAGTGATGCTCATAAAAGTCCTTCAAGAAATATTTCTCTCTTTATAAATATTTTTCTGTACTGTTAGAATCTACTCAATAGCTGCCTACTTTCTTGATTTTCACATTAAAATCTTCACTGTGAACTCACAGTCATCACAAACAATTAATGCAAAGACCTCTGTCTCTGATAAGTCTCTGTCAAACAGAGGAGTGGCAGCTTCTGAGGACAGAACCTGAGACAGGGCACTTTTCTCCACTGCATGCTTTATTCCTTGCTTCCCTGCTCAGTCTATCTGGCACTCTGAGTTTAGGTGTAAAATGAGAATAATGTTTAAAGTCTCCCCTTCATTCCTTGCAAAATGCACATTGTCCATATTTGTTCCTCCATAGCATGTGCATCCTCCCTGCTCTTCCCAACGTTTCCAGGGACCAAGAGTTCCCTAATTCCCTCTTGGACTCTTCAGAGCAAAACACCACTCACATCTGGATAGAAATTACATCTGGATGCAAATATAGATGAATGATTTCTCTTTATTTTAAACTTCAGGGTTTTTTTTTTCCCTTTCTCCTCTCCAACTCTATTTTCTGTTAAGAAGAGACTCAAACTACAGAATTTACACCTAGATCTCAGTCACATTAATTCAGTCAGCAAAATCTGCAACTTTAGTTAAATCTATCATAAAGATAGAAATTGGTTTTGAAATTTAGATATACTCCCAGGTTTGGAGGAATCAGAGAAGGGCCAGGATTCTCTACTTCAGCTTCTTCCTTCCTCAAACAATGCAGAGAACCAGCCCCAAATCCCTTGTGCATTAGTCCCAGCAGTTTGCACCTTCATAGCCACAGAAGAAAAACACCCGGTGCTTGGAAAGGGCTCTTTGTGTTTGATTAGCTCAACAATAACTAAGAACGGTTTCCCATTATTCCCACACTGATAACTCCATGCACTATTACACCCCCAAAACAGTAGATTCCTGCAGCACCCAAGAACGAGAACTTCCTCCCCATCACCTGCCTTTTATATTCATGATGTCTTTTCCTGATACATTTTCTGTTTCTCCTCCTGGTGCCCCTACAGCCACAGATCCACCTCACACCTGTGTGCTCCGACATGCAGCCCTACCGTTCTCCTTGTAGCCCATTCCCAGGATGACCTCCGGAGCTCTGTAGTACCGTGTCACCACGTACGGAGTCATCATGAAGCTGGTGCCCGCGGTCCTGGCCAGCCCGAAATCCAAAATCTTCAGCGTGCAGTCAGATTTTACCACAATGTTACTTGGTTTTAAATCCTGCAAAAGATTGTAAAAGAGTGAAAAGAGTGCATAAAGCCATAGCCACGGCAGGGGTTGACACTGATTTTTCAGGTCACCTTTAAAATACTCTTGCACTCGTCAGTGGTTTCGATCAGAAATCACTCACAAGCATGTAGCAAAAACTCTGTGCCTGTTTCTCTGCAATATCTTGCAAAAAGTGTTGTCCATTTGGCATACCCTGGGGCTGTACTGGTGTGAAATAACTTCATTGGGCTGCTTGAGAAGTTCAGATGAGTATTAAAGTATTATTTTGTGGGTTGTTTTTTTTTTTTTTATAATGCTGTCAGCCTCACAGAGATATTCCATCTGTCTTATGTGGAGATGGTTTACTGCTTCATTTGTTTTAATAAGAATTCAACTCATCCTTTCTCAGAAATTATCTTGAAACCATATCCACATCTTCTTACGTACATACAACATAGCAAGAAATAAAACCTTTGCTTACTATAAGGCAACATTCCTCTTGTGAACCATTTCAGTAGCCCTATGCTCTTCCATTCATAAGGAAAGGGACATATTTTATTTTTTTTTCATCTGGAAATACAAAATTAGTACCAGGCCACTGTAATAAAGAATAGGGATGTTTATAATCCATTCAGCACTGCCTCATATACTCCCAGTCACACAAACTGATCTTCTGTTGTTAAGGATCACAGTGCTACCTCCCGCACTCACAGCCACATTTTAAGGAGCAATAACATTTCTGTAGACATTTCAGAGATCATAATCGCTTTGGTGATTTCCAGTGCATATTGGTGATTATTATCATTATTTTTGATAAGCACATTTCCTAAGGACAGTTGTAAAACAGACATGAAGCAACTGTGTGAATGGGATGGGATGTGATTGGTAAATGCACAGTGATTTTACTGGTATAGGGCTTAGACCCACAGCACACAAGAAACTCAACAGGTTTCCAAAGTCTCCACAAGGATGGCATTTGCCACCCTGAGTTCCAAACTGGAGTCTCCTTACCCTGTGAATAATTCCTGCAGAGTGCAGGTGCTTGATGCCGCAGAGCATTTGGTACAGCAGGTAGGACATTCGCTCATGGTCTAGCTCCATCTGAATCACCTGGCACAGGTTGGCATCCATCAGCTCCATCACCAGGTAACTGAATGGAATAGCAAAGCCAGGAAGGTTATCAGCTGTGTTGAGAAGAACCACAGCATTGCCTCCACTAACTAACAATGTCAGAAAAGTCACAAGCGTCCCATGCCATGGCCGCTTGGCCTTCAGTAATGGCTCCCACAGCACATGCAGAAACCAAGTGCAGTGTGAGCAGCTCCAACATGCATTCACATATGAAATATCTCCAGACTCCTCCTAAGACTACATGGCTTAACTCAATTACTGGTCCTGAGCTTCTAGCAAATAAACTTCATTGACAACCTCAGCAAAACCTGAACCCAATCCCCTTCAGAAGGAAGTTACAAGGTTCAACACATCGGCAGACATCTCAGAAGCACAGCTTATGTGATCACAAATTGCTCAACTTCTGTGCACCACTTAATTACATCCTCATTGCAACATGACAGCAAACTTTGGGGAGAACATCAGTTTTCTGTTTCTACGTGAAATGCACGCCTCATCTTCTCTCCAGCACTGGTTACCTCCTGTGCTCTGCATATGTCTGCAGGAACAATACAATGCAGAACATTCATATACTAATACTAAAACCATCCTTGCCCAACTCTGACAACTATTTGTCTCATCACAACTGAATATCCGAGTACAGAATAGGAATATGTTTCCATACCATGCATACAAGATATGGGTAAGACTGAAAGCTAAAAGAAATAGAGCTACACTGCACTGTTTGTAGTTTCATTTGGTGCAGCTTCATACTCTGCACAGCAGAGCTTTTGCAATTGGAGTATGCCCAGCAGAGATGCAGTTGTCCTCTCCACTGAGTATGAGTTACCCAGGCAAGCAATTAAAGGCAGTCAGAGGCTATTACAACACAAACATGATGAATGTTCCGCATCAATCTCTCTTACAGGAAATTATTTTGGAGTAAATTGCTGCACACTTCCAGCACATCAGAAACCCAGTATTGGCACCTTATAGATACCTTGAACACAGGAATGCAGATAGCTGTCCGATCACAGTGCAGACTACTCATGGACATTTTTCAGAGAGGTTCATAACCTGCTAAGTGTTCTGCTGAGTTATTGCATTCATGGTACACTAGAACACTGCATCTCAAAAGCTTTGGTTTAATTACTTCCCGTATTACTTACACATCCTGGAACTCCTCCAGAGATTTCTGTGGCGTGAAGACATTTAATAAACTGATAATCTGAAAGACAGAGCAAAGCAAAAGGAGGAATAGAAGTGATAAAGCAGTCAAACTCATTTTGAAGCACATACTGAAAGATAAAATCTATTTTTCACTGATCTATTAATACCAACACCTGAGCACATTATGACTCAGTAAGAAGTCAGTAGTATTCAAAATAAAATGCCTCAGATCTCCAAGATGTCTTCAAGGTGCAATTGTTATTTGTTTCTAAGAGAAGGATTAGTGATGATGGATAACTAGCCACATGCTCAGGGTGAAGGAGTCCTCTGAATGTTGAGGGCTCAATTCAAAAACTGACTGAGGATCCATCCACAATAACAGCCCACATGGACACACTGAGAGCAGAGGGATAAATCAATGCCTAGAGATGGGGGAGAGGGTGCTAAAGTGATAAGTGAAGTCCTGATCAAGGTGTGATACCTGAGCATGGGTATCCCAACTCAAGAGACACCTCTTTGAGTCTCATACTCAGTGACAAGTGGTTCGAGCCAGAACGCCAACAAACACTTCCCTATTTCCAGAGAAACAGTAGAGAAAAACATGCTCTGCTCTCTCTCCTTCCATCATCCCTGCTCTCCTATCAAGGCTCCCATTCGGCACAGTCTTCACAGATGTACATGAAAGAAAACCACTCACCTATGTGAAAAAGCAGCCCTTGATCAGTTTACTTTTCATTTCTCTCTTTCTCTCTTTTTTAATTTTAAATTTTAAATTAAAAAAGACCCCCAAAATAAGAGTTTTCTTCTGAACGAACCGAAACACCAGTCTGACTCCCTGCATAAAACTTACATTTTTGTGATTCACACACTTCATGAGGACCAGCTCTCTGTAAGCACGCTTGGCATGAGTTTGGTTCTGGAACGGTCTGCTGAGCTTCTTAATGGCCACATTTCTATCAAGGATGGCATCATATGCAGCACTGCAATCATGACAAACACAGGGGTTATACATTGTAAAGGAAATCTTTCATTTCCTACGGCAAATTCCTGAGCCTCAAGACTGCTACTTCCATTTTTCCTTTCCTTGAAGAAAATTCTGGGACAAGGAGAGATTGTCTAGTGAGAGGAAAGAAACCAGTGAAAGGAACCACATCGGCAAGGAAGAGCATGCACCCGTACTTCTGACAACCAGTTTCTTAGGAGTCTAACCTTTATTTTTAAGGGATAGAAATAAAAGATTAATTAACTCTAAGTAAAAGTACAGTGAGAACTGGAGGACAAAGCAAAGCAGCTCAGTGTAGTGGGAACATCAGAAAGGCTTCTAAAACTCCTGATTAAGGACATGTTCACCAAGTGTCTTAATGAACAATTCTCCATTTTTATTTGGAATTCATTTAGTCTTTTCCTTATCACATTTTCTAATGGAATCAAATAATTTAATCATTCCTTTAGACCATATCATCCAGTTCCAATTACATGCCTGGAAAACAGGACTATTTCTCAAAATTTCTTTCTCGTTTCCTTTTCATAAAGAAAATAAATTGTTATGTATGCTTAATTAAAAAAAATTGAGTACATGAAGAAATTCAGCTTTGGTTTGCAAAGTGGTCTCTTAAAAATAGGCTTTTCAAATTCTCCTTTTAAGTTTCAAAATATTTTGCACAACTTTCACGTATTTTGATAATTTTTACCTCTTATGAGTTTGAACCAATTATTCTGGTTGCCCAAATATGATGACACAAATTCCAGCTTCTGCATTTTATAAATGCAAGTTTGAAATATTCTCAGACTAAAACAGCCCTCAGATCCCATTCCTGATTATTCCTTTTCCCAAGAAAGTGGAAAGGTTTACTAAATGTTTTTGCTGCAGCAAGAAAAGCAGCATTGCATTTCCCACAGGGTAACTCTACTAAATCACTTCTTGTTGTTCAAGCAACGACAACCTGAAGCACCAGAGCAACTCTCCAAAATCACGTTTTTTCCTATTAATCCTTGTGTATTGTAGATATTTACTCACATTATCCTACTGACTTTGTACAAAGCAGAAAGCACACAAGTATCAGAAGCTGAGTAACAAGGCCAACAGAAATTTACAAGCACACCAAAAAGTGCTGGCAATGTCTACTTTGAAATGTCTTCTCCTTCTCCACTCTGTGATTCCCAGTAACACTACTCCTACGTCAGAAGCACACCAAATATGTACCCAAAAAGGAACAATTGATTAATAGAGATAGTGAGAAATGTGAGACATGATGGTGGATTTGTGGCTTTCATTCTCTTTTGGGTTCATCACAATGGGACATCATAAAAGCAAAGACAAAAATATCCTTATTCTGTTCATAAAATAATACGTTTTATGGAAACAGAAAGTCAGAGGAGTTTAAAAACAGTATCTTTGAATAGCTAACTGTTCCACATCCATCATTTAAGGACATTTATTGAAAATATATCTCAACAGAGAAATGTCTGAGCTAATTCACACTGCTTAATCACCCAGCATCTTTAAAAAAGACAATCATAGAACCAGAGAATCACTCGAGTAGGAAGGGACCCTTAAAGGTCATCTAACTCAACTCCTTTGCAGTAAACAAGAACATCTGCAGTTAGATTGGGTTGCTCATAGCCCCATCCAGCCTGACCTTGAGTGTCTCCAAGGACAGGGCATCCACCACCTCTCTGGTCAACTGTGCCAGTGCTTCACCATCCTTTGCGTAACAACATCTTCCTTGCATCCAATCTGCTTCTTTCCTGTTTGTTCACTTTTTCTGAGTTTTTCTCTCTCAGGCAAGGCAGGAGATACAAAAGCACCAATTTAAAATCTGCAACGCCTTTGTAAGCGCTTGGGAACAATCTATTCCCAGTCCACCATGTAACACAACAGCTTCTTCCTCAACTACGGAAGAAGAAAAAACAACCCCAATAATCCTTTGTACAGTGGTATTCGCTTTGAGACACTGGGATCTCAACTGCAGTTCTCTCCTCGCCTTCCATCAAACAGGTGTCCAACTACCTTAAGAAATAAATATGGGACTTCATTGCACTGAGTCAATTAATAACACTGATGCCTTTTCCTATTCACTGGAGAGAAGCTTTTGTTCACCAACAGCTAGTGCTGCATCTTAGCACAATGAAATCACAGGTCCTACATGTGGGCCTTCTCTCTGGTGCTTGTAGAGGAAGTCCTTCCTTTGAAACACCAAGGTTAGCACCAATAACCTACCAGCCTTCCTAAGAAAATCTTCAATCATGGGCATAAGTGTGTTATCTAAACAGGTGGTTTAGGGAAGCAGAAGTAAGAGAGAATAACGAGTGCCTGAGAACTACTCTGAGAAAGCTGCTTGTGAAAGGCAAGGCCAAAATCTCCAATAATGGGCAGGACATACATCACAAAGTCTGGGCTCCATTCTCTATGAACTGTATTAAAACACTCTGCTCACCTACAAAATTATTTATGAATTTATAGAGCTGATTTATTTTGGTAGCGAGGACCATAATTCAACCCTGGGTCCTGCTATAAAATGTTATTTCATAATAAGCTCAAAAATTTTTTTCCAAGTTTACCGTTGTATCTCTGGCAGCTGTGCAGAAGTAAAACACAATAAATAAACTCTTCCCCCACAACTGTTTATGACATTTTAAATTGTCATTTAAGGTAAATCCCTTATTTTTAAGGTAAAAGTGAGTGTTAAAACTGTCTTTTAAATAATGTGAAACAAAACAATTTAGCGGAGAAAAAATTTAGCCAGATATGACAATAAATTTATCAAGACTCATGAGTAATTTCAGCTACTTAATGAGTCTTTGCTGGCTCCATTAAAAAAAAGAAAAAAGAAAACAGCAAATCAAACTCATTTCAGGCTCATGAATTTATACAGACAACCATAAATTGGATCACTGTTTACCAGTGATTTTGTGTGAGAGTTCAGTCATTTGAAGGAGCAAGCAATCACTTGTCTACATACATTAAAAAGAAAAGAACACTCTAGGTTAATGTCCAAGATGCTTTTTGAAGACACTTATAAATACTTCAAAAGTGCTCTTCCCCTGCAGTGCTAACACTTTTAATCACTAATATTTATAACTCCTATTTCAGTCTCCCCTAGAATGAAATACCAGCATGTACAAAGACAAATTGTTGAAACTTCTCTGAAAATCTCTTCCTAGTATGAAAACAACATTCTGACTCACAAAACACTGCTAACTGGCAATATTACACCACCATTCCCTTCAGGGCCAGGTTGATTCTAGGTATATCTTGATAAGCTGTTCACTTAATTTCTCCTCTGAATAGCACATACTTTTTCTTCTAGGAAAATCACAGATCTGTGTTGTGGTGAGGCCTCATCTGGAGTACTGTGTCCGTATCTGGTATCCTCAGTACAGAAGAGACATGGACCTGTTAGAGAGCGTCCAGAGGAGGGCAACAGAAATGATCCAAGGGACGGAACACCTCTCCTATGAGAACAGTCTGAGAGAACTGGGCTGTTCAGCCTGGAGAAGGCTCTGGGTAGACCTGATAGTTGCCTTTCAGTATCTACATGGGGGCTATAAGAAAAAGGGGACAGACTCTTTAACAGAGTCTGTTGTGAAAGAATAAGGGATAGTGGTTTCAAACTAAAAGGGAGAAGGATTTACACTGGATGTAAGGAAGAAGTTTTTTACATTAAGTAAGTACATTAAGTGTGATGAGGAACTGGCACAGGTTGTCCAGAGAGGTGCTGGAAGCCCCATACCTGATGACATTCAAGGGCAGGGTGAACTGGGCTCTGAGCAATCTGATCAAGCTATGGGCATCCCTGTTAATTGCAGGGGAGTTGGACTAGATGGCCTCTAAGGGTCCCCGCCAACTCAATTCTATAATACTGTGATTCAGTTTATTATTAAGCAGCTTGTGATCTGAACAGCTACTAGATCTCTTAAAAACCATCTTCAACGCATCCTTCATGCTCAAAAGCGTTTTTCCAAGGCACACAAACTTCTCATACAACCTATGAAGCATAAACCATGTTCCAGCTGACACTCCACTACACTGTATTCCAACAATCTACAGTACAAAAGCCTATTTTCACTCTTCACTAAAATCCAAAAATAAAACATTCTGGATCTCAAGTGAAAGACATCATCTGACTCACCTTGCCCAGACAACACAGTCTTGTGATAATAGAAACAGCTATAAGCACCCACGTGGTCCTAGCCAGACCAAGTTTCTTCACATGAAACCACTATGTTCTTAATTGCTTGCATCCTCAAGTGTATAAGTGATGTCTGTTGGAAGACTGAGGCTTCTCCTTAATTCCACCATAAATTCAAGAACCCTCCTAGCTCCTTCAAATTGTTTTTGAAATATTCCAGTACAGCATAACTTTTCTACAAACCAGAGGCAGTGTGAAAAATATCACAGACAGTATCAAAAAGGTTAACTGAAAGCCAATGCAGATATTCTACATATAACTTGCATCCAGAAAAACAGCATTCATTCAAATGAAAATACATGAAATATACATGAAAATACACTGGCTCCAACATCAGTCTATTTCTGATGATTTTATGCAACATGAGAATACCTCTCCGTTGTCTATATGTCCATATCCACAGGCCCAAGGTGATATGTCTCTTGCCCTCCCTTAAAATAAGGTAGTTGCTACCTCTCCTTCCTTCCAGCACTGCAGAAAGGTATCAGTTCCCTGTTCTCTCAGCCACTAAGATAGGACATACTTAATCAAAACCAGAAAAACATGCTCAACTGATTTTATCTTTGAAGTTTTTTTGTTTCTACTGCAGACCTAAAACTCATGGCCAAAAGTCAAAGTACGTTGACAACACTTAGCCCAATAAATTATAAACTGCTTCGTCCAAGTCTCATTGTCATCACATCTACAATACCACAACAATTTTACAAAAGCACACCACTCTTCCTCACAGACATCTGGGAGATTTACAGTAAGCAGTCTGTACTGTCATCAATAGTAGGAATATCTCTGCTCAGAATCCAGGCTGTTTTCTTTTCTCCTTCTGGCAAAAACCATTTTGTGAACATGGCTAGCGCAAATCCCAATGAAAGTTCCCACACCAATTTCACAAGATACCAAGCACAGGATGTCCAAAGCCACACTTGCTCACCAAGTTTTTAGTTATTTCACATGGGCACAATGACATTTATAACAAACACGTCACATGGCTTGCTCTTTTTCACAGATCTTTAGTAAATTATCAGCTCCTGAAGAACTCTATACCTTCACTGTAATGTTTCCACAACAGGAAAATGGATTTGTCCTTGGTTTAAATTTCAGGATAACAAATTAAGACCAAGTCCTTGCTTCTTTTATAGCCACATTCCCTGCTTCCTATGCCCACTACTGTTCCATGAGAGGTATTACTGTCCATGCAAATTCTCTTGCTCAAATCTACCCATAGAATCACATAAGACAGGCTGGAGGCACTGCGGACATCACCTCCAGGTCAGTAAAAGCGATGCTGCTGCTAGCAGATGGAATCTGGTCCTGAAGTAAGTGCTGAGGCAGTCCTTGACACAGAAGATGAATGTGTATTGTGTAGCTAATCGGTACTGAAGGATTTGATACCAAATTATTGACCAACTACTACAAGAAAGGTTCCTGTTTCTGAGGATGTGGGCACTGCCATTCTGAGATCAAGTGCCAGGCAAAGCAGAAAACCATTCTCAGCAATCAACTCTCCCAGCACAAGCAAAGCTTCTTATGAGCTTTGAAGATTTGGACAAGACCAAACGCTGGACAACTGCTGTTACTGCTGGCAGCAGTTTTGTCCTGAATGTGGACCTGGCATTTAGCAGTAATAATCTACCTTTTTCACTCAATAATTAACAACTCCTGACATACACTAAAGCAGTCTCTAACAGCTGGGTAAGCCCTCATTGCACCCAGCAAGCTGGCAGTTCCCACCAAATTCTTGCTTTACCATAAGTTCTTAATGTGCTACTCAGCTTGTTCATGCCTTTCTGGTAAATTATGACTCACAACAGGTAGACTGCAACATGGCACATGCTAAACAAAAATGATGATCTACCCTGTCAGTCACATAACTCTTCTCCATCTGTCCCATGAAACTGTACAGCCTTTTATGGCCTCAAAGCATTGCTCAGCCATTTAGGGAAATTGGCAGTACTTTCCACATCAGCTTTCTTGTTTTCTCATTTGACTTTCTGTCCTTGGGCATTCCTAACATCTCCTGTCAACTATTAGTATAGAAGACAAATTCGCGTTATGTTACAGATCTTACTTAGCTTAACTGCCTTTTTTTTAAAAAAAAAAAAGAAAAAGAATTCATTTTTATTTTATTTTTGCTGTTTTTAGTTGACCCATTTTAAGCTATATTTAGCCCTTTCCTGTTTGAGAACTTATTAGCAGCTACCTTGCTGCAAAAGGTTTCCAATGCAGATGCTGCAGAATGCTCTAGATGTGACCAGTTTCTACACAGTGCTCTCTGATTTTTTCTGCATGAATACTGAAATTACAGGGTTTACCCAGGATGTAATTTGCACTGCCTCTGGAAATAGTGTCACAGTTGTCAAGTGCAGTCAGGTTCTTTCTCTTTCTCCCTTGCTAGTTGCGTTTTGCTATGTGGAGAAACAAATCCCATGCTAACATCCTCACCAGCAGCAGAATTTATCAGACTTCTTTAGCCTCAGGATGTTTGTTGCCCAGTGCTCATTTTTGCAATTGTAGACAATATCTGTGACTAGCAAAGTGTGAAGAAATGCAAAAGGCAAATCCTACTGAAAAGCAAAGAGAAAGTGCTGATACTCACCAAACTATTCCCTGAGCCCCAGAGCCAATTGGTTTCAAGTTCTGGTAGCGCTTGAGAACAGTGAAGGTCGAGTCACCCACTTCCACACTGTAGAACTGGTTGTCAACTTTGCTTTTGCTCATGTTGTAATGCTTGGCAATGTATGACACATCCACTTGTTTCCCAAATCCCTGTTGTGCAGAAGGGAAGGGGGTTGGGAAGGAAGACAGAAACCCAAGCTGTAAAACATCAGAATATTGAGGAAACGCAGTCAGTTCCATTTTAAAATATGAATTCTTGCCATTTTAGGCTACAGAGCTCAATAGCTGAGGAGAGTTTACCAGTTCTGTATTTTTGGGAACCAGAAATGCTGTTTCTGTGATTCTAGCATTCTAGTGTTAGTCCCCACAAAATAAATTATTTTCATGAAAGAAAAACAATACAGGTTACTACAAACCTGTTGTGCTTGCACAGAAGATAGCACTACAGAGCTGTAACCTTGCCCATATACGCAGGCATTACCAGACATAAAGTTCCATTATGGCCATTTGAAGTCTGCTGGTTTCCTTTGTTCACCAAAGAATACAGAGTAAAATATGTACTGACTATGAGATAAACATTGTGATTTCATGTCTGTAAATGAGGATTCCATCCTATGTCACACTGAGCACAGGACACAGAAGTTCAGTATGCCACAGAGCTGTCCTGGAGCAATAGATGATTCACCCAGGGAATCCACGTTCCCCAGATGCACTCTGAAGAGGAGAAATAGAGCCCAAACATACATCTGCTGCCGCACTTGCATCTCTCTTCTTCTGCATTCATTTCCAGTGCTCACAAATGCAACATTTGAATTTCCCTGATATATATATATATATATATATATATATATATATATATAAATAACGTTTGAAGTTTATCTGATATAAATTGCTTTTTCAATAAATCTGAATAATCAATAATGCTACGTGACTGAACAATAATACTAAGACGAATTTTGATGGGGAAAGGAAAAACAAAAACTTTCCTTGAAGGATACGATTTTTTCATTTAAAAAATACGCAATTCCAGTGTTCCATAAAGCTGGCATTAAAAATAGAGAACTGATCCTGCCAGTAACTGGGGTTCTCTGGTTTGCCCTGGGATGAATGAATGCCCTTTTTCTGTCAGTTATCCTGCCAGAGTGCTGGTGGTCATTGATAGGGTGGTTAATCCCAGCTGCCTCATTCGGAGGCTTTGAAGTGCCCTAGCTGCAGCCATGCATTCAAACAGAAAATCTCATTTCAGAAGAACAAATAGAAACACTGCACTTACTCATGAATCAGACACAGGGCAAGGAATCCCCCCTCTCCCCAAATGATGAAAGAAAGAAACATACCCATACTGACACAAGTGCTAAATCCAAGGTTAAAGAGTAGAATAACTCTGAAAGAGGTATGGATTTTTCCCATCTAAAGAAAGAAAATTAGCATCTGATTTGCACTGTGCAGCCTTAGTCTCAAAGCTCCTACTGCCATGAGCAGACAGATGAATAAATCCAGCTTGCTCAGCTACTCCTACCAGACCTGGAACTGAGCAGCTTTATTTGAATAATGTGCTCCTGAATGACAGGAAATAATTCCAGTTCCCTCTGGCTACACTAACACATTTGCATCATGTTTTATCCTGATGTCATTATCAGAACAATGCAGACTATATTCAGCATTAACATCCGTTACTGTAAAACCAATGTTAGGGAAGTGTCAGCATAATCACTGCACTGCTTAGAGAGCCCAAATCACAGCCAGCTTCTCTGGAAGAGCCAGAGAAAGTACCTTGCTCAGGCCTGAGGAACCATTGCCTGTCAGCATCACCAGTACTGACCTCCCCACCTGTAATGTACGTGGTACAGATGTAAATGGGATAAGTTATTTTTGTCACTTTGAGTTCAGAATCCTAAACACATCAACATCACTTCTTCTGAAGTCAGGCAGAGCCTGTGAATGACTGGACTTAGGAACCTCACAATGCCACAGATTGTTTTCTGAAGTGCTGCAGCTCCAGCAGGTAGGTATTTGTAATCCAAGAAAGTCTTAATTAATTGAACAATTATTGTTTGCAGTTCTTCAGTCATTCCAACAGTAACTGAAGAAACATCAACCAACAGGAGCCTGTAGGGTCTGATCAGAGCACAATGGTCTCAACAAGCAGCTTTCCCCTCAGTAACACACACTTTTAGAATGATAGAATCAAAGAATCATTGAAATTGGAAAAGATCTGTAAGACCATCTTGTACGAGCATTAACTCATCACCACTACTATGAACCCATGTTCACAGTTCCACATCTCCACAGTTCTTGAATACCTCCAGGGATGGTTATTCCACCTCCTTCCTGGGCAGCCTTTGCCACTGCATCACCACTCTGAGAAGAAATGCTTCCTAATTCACAGATTCATAGAACCATTCAGGTTGGAAAAGACCTCTAAGATTATCTAGATTAACCATCAGCCCATCAGCACAATGTTCACTTTCCTACAACAACCCCTCTATTGTTCACATGCAACCAGAAAAGGTAAAGACAACTTCATCATTTATGGAAGCTTATGAAAAGTAACACTTTCTTAAAGTCTACTTAACATGTGAGCAATGAGCTCACATCACTTCTGCTTTGATAGAAAAGACACCCAGAATTACTCTCAAATATCAGGCACGCTAATGTGGCTGGAAGTTGACTCTAAGCAAAATGCCTCCCGCAAGTGATGTGCACTTTGGCTGCTGGAGACAGGCAAACCAGGCTTCCAATCAGCTACCCATCTGCCCCCTCTCTTTAAAACTACACTGGTAATAAAATGCAGAAAAATACTCCGCTGATTTTCAGCAGAAAATCAGCAAAATTAAAGCACAACGGGCCTACTGCTTAAGCCCAAAGTAATACTCCCATAAGAATTATGGGTCAAACAATGTAATTTTCCTTGTCTGATCAATATTTAAATCAAATCTCCAAAGCAATGAATTAACAGTGTTATTAATCACATTTGATCAGATCTCCATATCAGAGTGACAAATAAGCAAATCACAAATGATTTTGAAATCAACTCAAAAGTCACTTCTGAAACAAGGACAAAGAAACGGTCTCTTAAAATTCAGCTACAAAGGCTTTACCCTAAGCAAGGAAATGCATGCCCTCAATAGAGCATGCACACACCCAGAAGACAACTTTCTTTCACATTTGGTGGATACCACAACCTCAAGAACAGAGAAACCCTCATCAAGAAGAAACTAGAAGCTCTTCATTCACTATTAGCTGGAGAAAAAAAATGGTGCTCACACTTATGTTTACTTGGGAAGTTGTACTGAAAGTCTGTAGATCTTGCCAAGATCTTCTAGAACTTCACTACAGTTCATAAATTTTCAAGTGAGCTCCAAATGAACCCGGCGTGTTTTGCTACTTGGACTCCAACATAGCAGTAAACATTGCAAGAACAAAAATATTTAGACACAAAATTCTCTATCCTTTTTGTCTGGGACAGTTTCACAGGTCTTTGTGTTAGGTGAAAGATGATTGCTGAAACACAAACAATGCATCTGAATGTCATTATTTCATGGCTTCTATAAATATTTGGACAACAGAATCAAACTTTCAACGCTAACTAGAACTTAACCATCCATGTACAGGAATTTTCTTTGGCCATAACACATTCAAAACTTACAACACGTACCAAATGTCATTCTCCTCCTTCTGTACTGGGAAACTTCAGATTAAAAGAAGTTAAGCTTTTGGAACTGAACGTACATCTATCCAAATGGGGTTGGCAGCCGTAGCTGCACAGTTATTTGCCCAATATCCCAATGGCTTGGGAGGAAAGGAAATGAACTGCCAAACCTCAGGGGATGGAGGTGAAGGGAAATGCTAGTCCTAACATTACCATATGCCTTAGAAACACATTATTTGTTTTCAAAGAACAGCTATTGAAAAACACTGTGAAACTCCACTTATTGCCTTGCTCATAGTCACAAGCTGCATTCTTTTCCTTTTTTTCTTTTTTTTTTTCTTATTTTTTTTCCTGTTTTACAGTGTAAGCAGTGATAAAGAGAGATAAGAAAGCACAACAGAATAACAACACTATTTTCTGTAGTTTGAGGTGAATTGTTTCCTGATATTATCCCTGCTTATTTACCTACTTCTGCTTCAGGAAAGGAGGATATTGACTACTTTTCACTGATGAACATCTGTTTCTGAACACTGTTCTCCCTGTTATTGATAAATTCACAATAGAAAGACTTCTTACAGCTCAGCACTTCACATCCATCTTTTAGCTTCTATTAAATCCACTAATGGCAGTTTAAGCTCAATTGCTCTCATCTACATCTCCAGGACAATCAGAGTTGTCTCAGAGCATGATAACAAGTATCAACTGAGGAGGAGCTTTCCCTAAATATCAGCATCCATCTTTGCATGTGCACAGAAATGCCTACAGGAAAAGATAAACATTTAAGTGTGCCATGATTCAAGGCTATTGAAAAAAAAGCAAAACGACTCTGCATGCATGAAACAAACGAGGAAGAGAAAGACTGAAAAACTGAAAAACTGTTTCCTCATTTGCAGTTGGCACCGTGCCCAAGGGTGCAACAGAGCCATCGTTCTGTGCTAGAAGTGACAATGGCTCCCCAGGGCTCCTCTGTCTCCAATTCATCCCAAACAAAAGGCTGGAAAGGAGGAGAGCATGTCGTGGGTAGCAGACAGACAGTGTTCTGTCAGGGTCCAAAATACAAATATCTTCAAGCTACCATTTGACCAAAAGATCAGATGATGAGATATACAAATGCAAATTCTGAAAGATTGTAAAATCCTGAGGGCGTTCTTGTCAGCTCAAGTGCGTGCCTGTACAGCTGGCAGCCCCATTTAGCTCCTATCCTCCCGACTGAATGGCTGCAATTCACTCAGAAGATCCACAGTTGTGGCATTTACCAAACCTCTGCTTTGGATTTAATAGGCACAGGTTTTGCTGTGTACATTTGGAGAGTCACGGAAGCCTACATTTAAGAAATAGACATTATCTTTGCATAGGAATATCTGTAGCACAGTTAGAGATTAAATCTCCCACACAGAACATCAAATGTGTGCACTTACACACAATTTTGTAAATTCTTAATCTTATTTTCTCAGCCCCATTGCACCACATCTCCCCCACTATCGTATCTCATTCATAA